TTCACCAATTATTCCAAAAACAAAGTGGACTGACAGAATCCTATTCTACTATTCTTATCCTACCAACGCCACTATGTATCGGCTTTCAATTACTTTACCTACGATCAGGTAACATTAATTTATACCAACATTATTTTGAAAAACATTACTTGACATACCCTCGGGTCCCTCTGGACTGCGGGCCCCTGGACAAGTGTCTAAGCTGCGCCCCCGCCCCCTCCCCCTCTCACTGGCCCTGGTTATATCAAAATACCCGTGCGTTGCAAACTCAGAAATACCTCCCAAACTAAACGGTTTATATCAAGATTTTGTAACAGCTCGTTTTAAGTAGGATAGAGTTTCTCGATTATGCACAGGAGGGATTACTGTGGTAATCTATAATCTGGGAATTGGGTTCTTAAAGTTTTCTGTAGGATTTTTTTTTTTTTTTTTTTTTTTTTTTGTATAGATTATCTACAATAATCTTTCTATTGAGAAAAGGTACAACAGTTGGTCCATGATATCTTCTTAATTGACAAGCTTATATTTGTCAATGTAGATTAATTTGAATTCTGTTGATGATTCAGCAGTCTAAACTATGACAATCTAGGGAAAACAATACATGTAGTTAATTGAAGTTATGTATATAGAATGCATAAAACTAATCTAATTTAATATTGTTGAAGAGAAAGTTGTAAAATATAGTTATCTTTTTGCTTTGATTAAGTTCTGTGAACAGACTGTACCGGGTTCGTGATAGGTTACCAGACAACTTGGACCAAAGACCACTCGGACAAAGGCCAGTCGGACCAACCAAAAGACCACTCGGACCAACCGAACAGAAGATTTAACATGTCATTTTGGTCCCGCATCATTTCGGACTCCAAAAAATATATCCTCGACATTTCGGGCTCGGGTAGGTGACGTTTCGGACACGGGTAGGTGACGTTTCGGACACGGTTAGGTGACGTTTCGGACTCAAGTATAGAACATAGAATTATAGAACACTGACGTCAATTTACTTCATAAACTATAGTATTTAGAGAAATTAACATAGCATAAAACGATAACAGCGATTTGTAACAACGGGCATATTCATTTGACGAAATAATAGCCTCAGTCGAGTATTCATTTATTGTATAAAACATACATTTAAATTCATACATTAACATAGCATACAGCGACAACAGCGATTTATAACAACGGGCATATTTATTTGATGAAATAATAGCTTCAGTCGGGTATTCATTTATTTTATAAAACATACATTTTTTTTATGAAACATACAGTTATTTCTGAAACATACAGTTATTTCTGAAACATACAGTTATTTTATGAAACATACATTTATTTTATCACTTTTCTTTATAGGGCAGGTGGGCCGTACAAACTGCTGATTTTCTTCAATAGTCGACTCATGCTAATTTCTCGGTGATTATACTCGTCCCACAATTTAAAAAGTAGGCCCTCTATATGTATATGCCGATACCGGCTTCGCTGGTGCCGTCTCAGCGAATCCTCCGACATCATGGTAATGTCAATGGGTATCGTTGTTGTCTCGGAAAAGAAATCACAAATGAGTAAATAAAACGGCACCGGACCTCTGCCGTTGACTCGAGAATTTAGTCTGTTGTGCCAGCCCTAAACGTCGTTGTTCGTACGCACGGGCTGCATAAATACACACCAATCTTCTTTAGGGAACAGGCGTGAGGTGATCCATGTTTCCTCTACGTACTCAAAGATTGGTTTTAACTGTTCCGGACACACATTATTATGTATTTTTACCCTTTTTTAACTGGCAGAAATATTGCCATCGTTATAACTGTATTTTAACATTGCATGTTATTTCACAGTCTGTAATGTATCTTTACCTCTAGCTGTTATACATCCAAGGTAAAATTACATATCTGTAAATGGAGTACATGTAAAATTATCATGATGTTAATTTACATAAATTTGTACAATAACATTTAATACAAAAGAATGTTGTGTATTTTGACAGAGTTTATGTATTAATACCTCATAACTATTGTAGAATTATATATTATGTAACTAAAAGGAATGTGTTTGTCCCCGCTTGGCTGATTAGTCCTAGGTTCTATCCTGGCGAGCACAGAAAGTTTTGCGGAACTTTCAGACGGAACTTTCAGACGAGCACGTAACACAACATTCGATAATGCAAAGAAATTGTGTAAGTTAGTTGTATTTTAAGCCCGCTTCCACCGAAGTGATATCGCGGACAATAAAGCAATTAAATGAAATGGGGTTTAATGTGCTACCGTTCTGCTCCTTACACTGGAAGAGTAGGTGGCATGACACCGTCCAAGCAAAATGGCCCACACAACTCAATGTATGGCATATGTATGTCTTTATTAGCCAGTTCGGTGCATTTAGATTTTGAATAACTTATTTCTCTAAAATGGACTAAAGTGACTGACAGAACAGTCAATATTTTGCACAAAATTCGATATGTGGTCAAAGGGGGAATAAACGATGTGACCACTATTTGACAGTAAATTTACAATTTTCTGTAAAAATAATACTTCAAACGGCATTTCTGTTAATATACAGCTCATATAATGTAAACTAACATATGGTTGTATTACTACATTAAATTTGATGTAATTTTACATAAGCCTTGTATTCATATGCATCGACATCGTTTTAAATGTAATTTAACAAACCATGTTTGACAAATCCTGCACTGTATTTTTACTATATTTATAACTGTAAATAAACATATAATTTTAACAGTGCACCTTTCTCGTAGATGCGTAAACATGCCCACTATATGTTCTTCTGACAGGAAGGGGAGAACCATTAGTTTCCGGAGATAATTGAATACATCACCCTTTTCATTATAAACCGTCTGAAATAATATAATATTAGAAATATAAATAGACGAATATTGGCATAAAATCTATATGGGCGAACATTGAAATGTCGCTGTACTTATTGTTGTTTAAGTTTTCTATTGTTGTCTAAATGTTCTGTATTGTTGCAGATTTATTATAAGAAGATTGTATACCGTACCTGGAATCCCTTTTCCTGACTTTTTCTGAAAACGGCTTGTGTCCAATGGAAAACACACCCCTGTATCCTGATCCGTTGAAATGGCGTCTTAAAGTAGCTAAGTCCGTAACTCAATATCATCCAAAATCTTCGACATTGAAAACACGATTTTTTTTGCAATTTAAATCAGCATTGGTGTTGTGATCTTACCTGGAAAAGATGGGCTTCTGATATCCAATATTTAAGACAAAATAAACATTTTACCATTGGTACACGAATCGTGTACCATAATGCGTTTCAGCGCCAATTGTAACAAGGTGCTCAAAGAATGAGGCTAGACATATTCCACAAGTCATGTCAAACGGTGATATCATATTCTTATTTGGAGAGCATGCGCAATAAATAATATCGGTGTTGACTGGAATAACCAGACACTAGAAACGGACTTGCGGTTGAGACTTCTGGCGTATTTCGCCGAACATAACTGATGACAATTCACAGTAAAACGGACACGATTGAATGTAAAACAGTTCATATAAATTCATATTACATTATTATATGTGTTGCGACCCATTTGTGCCAATTTCTAGGTCAAAATATTAGCGATTTAGCTCCTTTAAAGCCTGCCACAGTCCCGCCTCAAAATCTACCACGAATGCTTCTAAGTTAATATCGCCTGGGAGCATCTTATCAACTGCACGGAGAACCTGTGAAGTAAATACCATGGGCACAAACGTTCATTTATCCGATTATTTACTATATACTCTAGCTTTAGAATGTTAATTTATTCCAATTATGTTCATTTATTCATTTATAGATCATGCTCTTCCCCGAGATCACACAAAAAACAAGTGGTACTTGTTTTGTTGTGTCGCCTGCTTTTATAAAAGCGGGTATTGAGAACAGTTGAGAAAGGGGTTTGTTTATAACCCGGAAGGTGGCGTCCATACACCAAGTTTTTGCTTTGGATAGAAGATGCAACTGTTGCTCTGTGACGAAGATGTGGTATCGCCTGTCTCCAACTTTAACACGTTTCTGGTAGAAACCAGGGGCGTTCCGGTTAATAAAGTCTTCATCAAGCTGAAACGAAAACCAATAATGTATTTAACATATATAATATATAAACAAAAAAAAGAAGAAACATCCACAGGAAAAAAAAACAAAACAAAACGAAACAAGTTGAACATGTATTTACAGATGTACATTAAGTTGTGGGCACATAAAAGGTTCAATATGGCGTTAAAGAAGATTGACTGTGACAAATTCGTAATTAATACATGCAGCAATGTATATATAGATTGTATGAATATAATTAAGGTTAATCAAATCGGGGAAAGACGGTAATTAATTTCCATTTGGATATTTAATTAGTTGGGCGCGAAAGGCGTTGGCGGATTTCAAATGTTTAAGAAAACATGGTAATGTATTCCATAGGCGTGATCCACAGATTTTAATACTATTTTTGACTACACTAAGATTTGGTCTTAGTCATAGAGGTGTCAATATATACACCTCCGTGGTCTTAGTACATATCAGTCGTTTATTAATGTTAGAGTAAGGGGTGTAATTATATAACAGTGTTTCAGCGAGGTAGTTTGGGCATTGCTCGTTTATAATATTGTGCAAGAGTACTCTCTGCGATGGAAGGACAAGATCTCGTGAATACATTACCTAAGGTCGTCAAACTGAGTCCGAAACGACGTTTGTGTTGAGTCCGAAATGACGCGGGACCGAAATGACGTGCTACCAAACAGAACATCTAGACCACCCACGCCAATATTTTGCTTGGCTAATTCGCTTCATAGTTAAATTACAATGTATAGGTTGGGTAATATAGAATTTGGTTACATAATCTGCTGTAGTTATTCAAACTTGACCACATTAGTTGGTGAGCCTTTAATGTTTTGACAAGCGACATTTCGGCTACTTTTAATTTTGTTTACACTTCAACAAAGCGCGTGTTATTTTCAGGGGAGGTAAGTAGCAAATATCGAAATAAGGCGCATGCGCGTTGCCGGTGGGTTAGGAATACTTCCGGCTAGCTAAAAGTTGGGTTTATAGATAAGGCGCCCAATATTTTCTTGATTTTACAAAAACAAAAGAAATTGAGCACTCAATTAAAGATGGGTTGTGAAGAAGAAGTTCTCGGTGTTGGAAAAAAATTGGATAAAATGATTTCAAACCAAACAACAGATCACACTTCTGTTCTGGACCTACTCAAAACATTGCAGGTAGACTACACAAAATATAAAAAAAATAATAAGCTCAGCCAGTGTGAGTGTGGGCCTAATTTCATTTCACCTGTCGCGGCTTTCATTCATTCAAAAACTCAATGCACACATTATCATGATATTAACTCTATTTAGGGCTCTTCTAACTTCACTGGTTGATACAAAGTCAAAGAGAAATTTTCCATTTGGCATGGTTTCATTAGGCCTAGTGGCTAGTGTAGGCTGCTCTGTGTAGTAAAGTCCTAGCCTAAGTTAAGTAATTTGGAGTTGTTCATTTTGTGTGTGCAAATTTTGCGACAAATCTGTCAAGACATGTTGATGTAGCTAGACATTTTAACATTGAATTAAATGACTCAAGAAAATGTGTTAATGGTTTTTAAGGAGTTTAATGAATGCTTGTTAAAAATACTTTAGTACAAGACCAGTATGTTAGGAATAAAAAGGAATAAAATACAAAACTTTTAGCACAAAAATAATGTTTCTAACCTAATTTATTTGAGATACAGTATTTACAAGTTATTCCAGAAATTGTAATTGTGAAATGTAAAATTATTTTTCTTCTATAAGTAGCACCAAGACTTTTGGTTAGTTTGTGAATACAATTTGGTAACTGTGTTCAATATATTGACAACAAAATATTTAGGAGATACAATATATATTACCGGTACTCACTCCAGTGCCAAAAGATGGTAATGTGTAATCATAGGCAAAGAGCTAGATTGGTCAAACTCTGGTTACTTTAAATTAATCCAGGTACTGGCTTCTTCAAATATTTGAGTTGGTGTACGTTGGTCACCATATTGAAGTATTCCTTACAGTGCAACCACTACAACCATATTTTGAGGTCTTTTACAGATGCTAAAAATAAGTCTCCTATTGACATTCTGTCGTTCGCTGTCAATACCCTTCAGCATTGCAACATTACCCCTTCAGCGTAGTAACAGTAAAGGCCTCAAAGAGTGTACATGTAGGTCTTGGGAATAACATTTAATGCACTCTGGAACTCCCCTGGCTGGATTATATGACCAACTTAAGTTAACTCTATGATGTTTCTTTGTTTTTTTTTTTAGGACCTACCAATGTCCCTGGATGTACTTCAAAAGACTAGAATAGGTATGACCGTTAATAATTTACGTAAAGCCAGTAAGAGTGAGGAGGTTATTTCATTGGCTAAAACACTTATTAAATCATGGAAGAAACTTCTACCAGGGGAGACTACCCAGTCCAATAAAAGTGGAAGTTCATCGTCATCAAAAATGAAGATTGACGAGACTTCAAACGACAGCACTGACGTACAGAATGAAAAAGAAGAAAGTAAGCCTAAAACCGCTTCAGATACAACTGATGCCATTCGTCTAAAATGTCGAGAACTTTTAACAACAGCTCTAAAATGTGATAATCCACCAGAGAACAGTGGCAATCCATCAGAAATAGCCTCAGCCATTGAAGATTATATCTTCATGGAATTTACCTCAACAAATCCCAAATATAAAAACCGTGTTCGAAGTCGTGTAGCTAATCTCAAAGACAGTAAAAATCCTCAATTGAGGGCTCATGTTCTTATTGGAGTTATCTCCCCACAGAGAATGGCAAACATGCCAGCTGAGGAAATGGCGAATGAAGAGATGAGGAAGCTTCGTCAAAAGTTAACGAAAGAAAGTATTGACGACCATCAAATGGCTAAAAATGAAGGCACAGTGTCCGATCTATTTAAGTGTGGAAAGTGCGGCCAATATAACACAACTTATACTCAACTTCAAACAAGAAGTTCTGATGAACCGATGACAACTTTTGTATTTTGTAATGTATGTGGAAATAGATGGAAATTCTGTTAAAATAACTTATTGAAAATTTATCCACAAGAAAAAAAAAACAATTTTAATTTTAAGAGTGTACTGTGTTTGTTGATTTGTCATCTTCCTATAAAAAGGTTCCTTGTTAGTCTCAAAATGACTTAAGTAAAGTGTTGATGAGATATCATTCATTTTATTACATTATTAGCTGTTGATTTTTTTTCTTTATGTACATCATACATGTACATGTACCCATACAGCATTGAGTTTGTTTATATATTTATGAATAATGCAAAGATATTAATTAAGCTTATGAAATATTTACAGAACTGAAACTGGTTGGGTTTTTTTTAGGCTCTTTTCTCCTTTTGGTTTCTTCTAATTATGCATGTCAATTTTTGATGACCATACATTATGGTTGATGGATTGTATATTTCAGTTTGTATTGTTCAAAATGATTGTGTGAAAGAGTTTTGTAAACTAATTGTTTAGAATAGATTTTAAAAGGGTTTGGTGCATGATAGACTTTGGTTTAAATAAGAATATATTTAACACAAGGTACACTGTACAATTTTATGGATACACAATTACTGAGTTTAATACTAAGCGACATTTCGACGAGGATACTCTCGGTCTAATCACATAACCTGTATCATTTGTTTGATAAAGATGAGAGTATCTTCGTCGAAACTTACGGGTGTGGATGGCAGAATGGTTAGCACATGTGCGCTGTGTCATAATAGCTGTCATTGAATCAAATGGCAAGGTTCAGATTCCCCGGTTGTACGTGACAAATAGAAGGGTCGCCTGTCCAACTTCATGTTTTTTTCCCTGAGGTCCTCCGGTTTCCTCCCCCTGCTAAAGACCCCTACGAGCAAGCTAATTATTGAAATAAAACTAAACCATGTTAGTCCCGAAATGACCTAGTTTGTGTCGAGTGGACTTTGAACCCTATTTTTCTCTGTATCATCTAAAGTCTCTTAGTATTAAACTCAGTAATTGTGTGTCCATAAAATTGTACCTTGTGTTAATATGTTCAATTACTAAATGCCAATCAAAGAAGAAGAATATATTTGCTTGGGTTTGTTTAGACAGTTGTCACAAACATACATGTATACAGCATTGGGGAATTGTAGTACTACTAGCAACAGTGTACTTATGGTGTATTCAGGTTTCAAGAATTGAATAAGTTAATTCTGATGCATTAGCCCTAGAAAATCCAAAATGAGGTACATGTATGGAGTTAAAGTTTAGAATTACATCTTTACTTACATTGTACATCACTTGAACTTGGCCACATCATTAGAATTTTTAATCATTTCAGTTTCCTGTAAAAGGGAGGAAACTCTATTCCTAATGGAAACTCATGCACATTATAAATTGGTGACTTCAATTACATGTAGGCTTAAACCCTAACATAAAAGGGGAATGTTCAGTTTTCTGAAAAGTAGGATACCACATACATTTAATTCTTTTCCCTAAAAATCACCTCATGCACATTGTCATTGATATTGCATTTAATTAATAAGAACAATACAATTTGTTTGAGGTTCTGTAAGTGGAGACCGTACTTGTAAATAAAATATTATATATAGCTCAACTTTAGGTTAAAAATCATCACATATAAATCATACTCCCTAATCATTTAACCATGCATTAAATATACATGTACCATTGCTTTATTGTTATATTTCTAAAAAATAAGAAATGATTTGAGCGGTCAGTGGGATGGTAACTTTGTTTTAATTCTATGAATTCTTGTTGTTGTACCATTTAAGAAAATTTAAACAAAATTTCTTTATCTTTAAGCAAATGGTACAGATTGTTATTGGTTGAATTCTGATAAGTCTTGCTATTAAAACCTCTAAAACCTTTTGAAAGATATATGATTTGCTCTCTTTTGTCTTATAATACTGTCCTCACAGTCCTAGGATGATCTTTAGGTTTTAATATGAATGACCAACTGAATACACACAACTGGAATAATATCTTTTTGTATTAGTTCATTATCTGGGTGTAAGCATTTATCATAAAAATTGTTATAATAGTTTAAATACGATTCTTTAGAAGATACGTATAAGAGTATATATCATGTTTGTTGTCATTATATCATCATTGTATATATCCAGTTTACTAGTTTCTAACAATAAAAAGAAACAAAACAAATTACATACTGTTCATACTTTATCCATTAGAGCCACAGTGACTCATAAAAGAGGAATTATGGGAGATTAGGTAAAGAGTTGACAGTTCTCACTATAATAATTAAAAAATATAGATAACGTAAATAGAATGTGCTGAAAATTGCCCTACTCTGAACCAAGATATTAGCTTTTGAATTTTAGGCTAGCCTCGATCATCATTACTAAAGTTTAATTATTTTCAAAAAATGGATTCCAATCCGCTAAATATCGCAGGCTGGCGATGGCATTGAGAGTTGATTATGATCTGGATAAGTTAATTAATGTCTAATTAATAATTTAGATAACATTTCAAGCCTAAAGAAAGACCTGCACAATAGGCAGATTTAGCTCTTGCATAATGTATGTTTAAATAAGGCGCTGGCTCATTAAAGATGCATAACATTTATGTAATACATGTATTTGGATAAAGAACTGGTCGTTTTTTTTTCTAGTATAATTTTTAATCAAAAAGTTGATGAAAATGAATATTGAAAATTTCAATCAAATTACTGAAGTCTGGGCAAAGTTATGAATGGTTAGAGTTTTGACCAGATTTAGCCTAGACAGTGTAGATTGTCAATAAATATTGTCTTGACTGTCCAGTTAAACGTTAACCAGTTATATTGCACGGTTGATCTAAACCATTTAATATCTCAGCCATCCGATGGTGTAGACACTTGATTATAGGATTGTCATGTTCATAAATGTCTTAAGATTTAGCTCTTACATAATGCATTTTTAACCAGGAGGTCTAGGGTTCAATGATCAATCCCAGTGTTGGTCGAGAAAATTCAGAAGGGACCTCTTGACAGTTGTAATTCTATAAAGGGTAGGTTAAAAAGCCGCTGTCGGGGCAAAATTTCCCATATATCACACGTCATGGCCCAGTTGGTGCAGAAAAGTAGAACATTAAATTTGATTTCCATTCTGCATTTCCTCCAATCAATGAGATCAAGGTTAGATAACTTCTTGTAGGATCTGAATAACACAATCTGCACTTTCTCTACAGGATGCAGACCACCAATGACTTTCCCATTGACATTAAGTTTGCTATTGCCCCGCTTCCAAATCATGAATATTCACCTGAGTCTGACATACTGACATAAACTGGCGCCCCCCCCCTCCCGGGCTTTGATTGTAGATCAAAAAGTCAAATTGTCTAATCTGGTTAAAACACAAAATCTATTTCACTTTGTTTTCATACGCCCACATGGAATCGTGGTCGTATATTGCCGTCGGTCCGTCAATCGTCCATAATTTTTTGTGAACACTCTACAGACTACATTTATCATCTGATTATTATGATATTGATGTATTTTATGTACATTAGTAAGACAAAGAAGCTTATTTAATTTCAATAATTCCCGTTAATTTATTTTGAAGTTATGGCACTTGTTTCACTTTGTTGGACCTAACGACAAAAGTTATCAGCAGATCTGTATGAAATGTATGTGCATCATTTAAATTAGTGAAACGAAGAAGTCTATTGAATTCCCGTTAATTACGACTGGAGTTGTGGCCCTTGTTTCACTTTGTTGAACCTTGTGAATGCCCCAACGACAAAAGTTATCACCCGATTTGTATGAAATTTATATACATGTACACAAATTAGTGAAACGAAGAAGCCTATTAACTTCCAGGGTTAAGGACTTCGTGTCAGTTTGTACAACTTTTTGAACCCACAAACGACGAAAATTATAATCTGATCTGTATGAAATGAACTTGTAAATGCCCCCATTACCTACAAAAGAATAAGCAACAACCCTTGTCGCCCCTTCGGATGATTTAGCTGCTGTGGACGTATTTGTCGTTGACTGGCAACTTATCCTTTAGGGGTTTGATTGGGGTTTTAATACGCCCACATTGAAATGTGGTCGTATATTGTCGTCGCCCCCCGTCCGTCCGTCCGGCGGTCCGGCGTCCACAATTGCTTGTGGACGCTCTAGAGGCTAAAGTTAATATCCGATTGACTTTAGGTTTATGCACAGTTTTTAAGGTCATGAGACGAAGAAGCCTATTAATTTTTAGCGATTTCGGATAATTACTGACAGAGTTATGGCCCTTGATCAGTTAGAAAAATTTTGTGACGTTCTAGATGCTGAAGTTATCATCCGATTGACTTTAGTAGATTAATGCACAGAATTTAAGGATATGCACGGCCTTCTGGGGTCACCTATTGAGTAAAGCAAAATAAAATATATTTTATGTCATTCTGTTAAAGTCAACGTATGACCCCCCCCCCCCCGACGTGACCTCTCATCTATGTTGAGTGGAAGAAATCGAAAGTCTAAAGGAACGGAGCTTGATCTGTATTTTAATTAGTTTCAACTAAAAAATTTTTAACACTTTGGTATTTAAAACTTTAAATAGACAATTCGTAACATGTTTGCCTTGATTTACATCTTAAACACCTTTGCGTCAATGTTGTTTTCATTTCACACTGTTTTCTTTATAAGACTCAAAAGTCGGACACCATCGTTCGGCAAGTATACGCGCTTCCACGGCACTGGCGCGCTATAAAAAGGAACAAAATCAGAAAATTAATATAAACGACTTTATTTTCTGTACAAAATCACAGCTAAAGCATGTATAAAATGGGGCATTACTGGGTTTGTGGACCAAAATAGATTTCTGGGTCAGATTTTGGGATTCGATATTAACACTTAGGGCAATAATACAGTTTAATCAACTGAAGATGTCAAAATCTCAAGCAACTATGCATAAAAGGTGGGAAAAGACTAAATATAATAAGTTTTAAAATATCACAAGTATACTTGTAGATTTATATAATAGGCGGAGGGGATTCAGACTGAAATAAAAAAGAATTCATCAAACAGTTAAGACAGATATTGTTAAAATAGATGTTGAATCGGAAGATAGTCTAATTAAAGAGGAATTGTCACTCTAATCACGAAAAATAAATGTAATCAATTTTGAATAATATCAGGGTCAAACTAAATTTTGATTCTTCGTATTATGGAACATCCAAGTTCGGCCTATTTAGAGTAAGCCATTTTCAGTAACATTCCGTTAAACTCTTTCATTGTCCAGCTTGTGCAGGAAACTAGCTCCATTTTGTTGAATTCCTTGAAAAGTTTGCACCCGTTAGTCGAAAGTTAAAACGTTACATGTCTGCGGCGGTTGGCAGATTGTTAAAATTTTTGAATTCAGCCTAATTTGCTACCTTTCATCGGTAACATCACCCAAAATTCCATAAGTTAAGTCATCTCTTTTGTCCTTATCCCCAATGTATTGTACATTGTTTTGTCGGTGCAAAAAAACAGGTTTAAACTAACTAAAATATTTTATCCGGACAATTTTTTTCTCAGATATAGCCTTTGGTACATTAAAGCAGTTGTGGCTATCATTATTATACATTTAAAACAATGACTATAGAATTTGAAACAATGACTATGGAATTTGAAACAATCATTACAATATTTGAGATAATCATTATACCATTTGAGATAATCATTTTATCATTTGAGATAATCATTTTATCACATGAAATAATCATTATAGTAATTGAGACACATAATTATGTATGTTAGTATTTTTAGACAATCAACATAACATTTGAGACATACATTTGTAAACATATAAGTCTAATATAGCATGACATAAGAAAAATTCAAAACTTCAAACAATCATCATGGTATTTGATTATTAAAGATAGTCATTTAGCAGATGCTATAATAAATAAGGCAATCAATATAGTATTTTAGTCATTAAAGCATTTGCATTTGAAATAATAATTATACCATTTGAAACATTCATTTGAAACAATTAAGGTAACATTTGAGACAATCATGCCATTTCGGTCAATGATATAAGATATTTGAGACATTTTACAGTAATACCGGGTGTATAACTTAATGTTAGACAATATCTGAAAGAAATAGGTGTAAATAAATACAATATTATTGATATAATAATAATCACGTAGGTTTAATATCAAACGAATAAAAATAAATAAACAGTTTTCTCGCTATTTTAATGTTGAAATAATCCCAAACAATTGGGGTTTTTTTATATCTAAAGCTCGAAAAAGTTTTGGCATTTAATATCAAGAAAATTCTATAATCGGGGTGGAATTTGACCGAAAAAACGATTTCTTTTTAACGCTTATTAATTGAAAATGATATTCAAAATTTGGCTAATACGGTTACAATCTAAGTCAGAATAAATTTTGTCGCGTGTTCAAGTCCGATTATTCGTCAGTTCAAGACTCGTCTTAGCGATTCAGTACAGTTGAACATCCATATCACGAACTTTGAAATCTCGCAAAACCATGAGGTCGGGGTCAGCTGTCGGTCCTGGCAAATTATATATTAAACTCAGACAATGTGTTTATTCGAACATGAACTCGTAAATAGAGGTTTGTACATTTTTTAACGAGAAAAATATACGAATTGAGACAGTAGAAATTCAATACATATAATTATGGCGCATAGAACTCTATATGCTTTTGATAGAAACTATACAAATTACACTAACTCTGGTTTTCTCTAAAATCATGTGACGCTTTGTAACATTAAAGCAGTTATGACTATCATCATTATGCATTTGAGGTAATCACAGTAGAATTTGAAACAATCACTATGGAATTTGATCAATCATTATAATATTTGAGATAATCACTATACACTGTAAAAAATATCCATTTTTTATGTGGCCGAATTCCGTAATTTAACACCTTTTTTCTGTTAATCGATGGATTTTTTTGGCGAACTTGTGTTAATAGTGTGAATTATTTCTTCAAATTACGTATTTTATGTATTTCTGTGGATTATTCAGTATTAGACAGGAAATTTCCGTGAAATTTAGGGATAAAATGTTTTATTCCCTTCTATAATGGACTTAATTCTGTTATTTTACGGAATAAACGGTGGAATGACAAGGAAGTTCCGTGAAATTTAGGGATAAAATGTTTTATTCCCTTCTATAATGGACTTAATTCTGTTATTTTACGGGATAAACGGTGCAACGATAAGTAATAGTATACATATATAATCATTCCTAATAATCATCATGTTATAGTATTCATTTCAATTTATTAACCATAATATGAAGAATCATATTTTGTAACGTTTGGTATATTAATTGACGTGTATATCTAATTTCCATTATTTATAAGATCTATAAAGTGTATTGTTATTCATCATACGGAAATCAGATTGTAAGTATTTTCATAGATATGTAAAAATATGTTTTAATGCTACGTGTGTTAAGGTTGTAAAATCTGGTAATCATGCACGCTTAAATCCGGATAGTGCAACCGGTTGGCCAGTGTAAGTCGGTTTGTCTCTATGGCAGAGTCAACATACCTGCGAATTGATAATACCGAAAACTTACATCTGAAAGCCTCCAACCACTGACGAGTAGCGGTTTGTGATACCTTGCTCTCGATTCTTATATATGTTAGCGAAAAGAGGTTACGTTTAAAGATTATCGGTTACGTTTAAAGCTCATCTGCGATATCACTTCGGTGGAAGCGGACGTTAAATAAAGCTAATTCACGCACGCATGGTCAGGATTTTTTTTTTCTGTATTTGAAAATGGAATTTATGTTAATTGAGGGAATTTCTGTAAATTACAGGAAAAACAAATACGGATAAAATTTTCCTGGTAATTTTTGTTTCCGGAATTTTTTACGTTTTTTCACGGAAATTTTTGTTACAGTGTACCATTTGAGATAATCATTTTACCATTGTCGTAAAAAGATTTAAATTTTAGTCTGTAATAGACAGTTATGTATACCCAATATGACGACGATGAGATAGATTAAATCCATGCACTCTAGCAATAGTAATTTGATTACGATATATAATAATATGACAATAAAATATATAAATCTGTAAATAATAAAGTTTCTCTACCCTGTAGCTATATAAGATTTGTCACAGTTTCAATTTCGTGGACTTTTTAACCATTCAAATTAAATTGTTATTCAAACTGTTATTCAAAAAATGATAGAGGATTATTTGAAATAATGAACAAATTGTATAATCTATTTAGTAACATGCACTATTGCTTCGTTTTTCGTTACAGAAATAAAATTTTAAACATGTTAATTTTCATAACCCTATAATCCTCTTAAAATGTAATTAAAAATTCACCTATACAAACCGAATACATTGTAAATAATTTATATTGTGGCAAAATGTAAATTGTTAAAGGCTCAATACCACTCTTGTTGTAACTGAATAATATGTCCCAATCTTTATTCTGGTCAACAAATTGTACTATTTTAGAATATTTCAATTAATTGATGATACAAATTTCATCTTAAAACACTTTATTTAAAAATTTTGAAAAATTCAACATAATGGTTTGAAACGTCTAACGTAAACCTTTTCAAATGAAACTTCGATTTAAAAATATTTTCGAACCCTCTGGACAAGTAAAATAGGATGTAATGGATAATTTACACAGCAGGTAGGGCACTTAAACATCTAGTACTTAGATAGAGATATTATTTATTTTCTGGAGCTTTCAAGCCAGCAAGAGTGTTATTGTCCCTTTAAAAGAGTTTAGATTTCGCCTAAACATTGGTAATAAAAATTAACGCTAATTACATTTCATGAAATAACATGCATCGTTGCTTTGATTTTCGATTTTCGTTAGTGTAATTCAGTATTGAACTTATTGTATTACACAATGAATACCGTACACAATGTAAATACAGTCATGTAGTTAAAAGGGTTTAGATTTCGACTATAATAGTATCAAATTAATCGTTAACTCTAAGTATATATAACAATGAAATATGAAATTTATGAAATACAAATATATCTTTCAATGAATTTATTAAATGAAAATTGATGAATTAATTGGTAATTAATATGATATGATTAAATTCATCACTCCTATTGAAATTCAAATCGAATATGGCAGAGATGATTGTGAGTACTCTTGATTTGTAGAAGTATAAACTATAATACTATCAAACTCTAAATTTATAAATTAATAACAAATGAGATCGTCCCCCATCTTTCGGCGTCTTCTTTCGCTGTAGAATTTAAACTCCATGGCTTGCATCGTTTGTCCTACTTCTGTGTTAAGCCTGTTGCCGTAGTTTGCCGAGTTGGTATTTGGTACATTTTCGGAGTACAGAGCTACTCTGTCCGGCATCTCTTCTTTGGGTTTAAGATTTCCCTGTTATAAATTTATAAAGGGTGAAATACACAGATTTTATTGTTATGGTATATCGTTCGGGTAATACGAATTGACAGCATAACCTGTACAAGTTCTATCAGAAGTGGGCTTATAAGCTCCGAGCTATAGACCATAAGGTCTGCAATGCGAGTCTTCCCCTTGTCAATGATGCAGGGCGAAGGGCCCTACAAGGAATATTTTATAGTCGTTCGGATGGGACAAAAAACCGAGGTCCCGTGTATACATTGACGTGCTCGTAAAAGAACCATGGGCAGATGGAATTCGAAATAAGAGTAGATCGTAGTGCCATTGTTCAGGCAAATTTCCCTTATTAGCTCAGCCTAGTAGGGGCATAAAGGAGGTTAATTTCATTTCGTTTCATTTCATTGCTATACGAGTACGGTTGCCTGCTTAATCTCGTGCGTTTCCTCACATCTCTGCACGTTAGCAAATTATTGAAAAGAAAGTGTTATATCATGTTAGTTCCGAAATAACTTGGTTAGTACCGTGTGGAGATTTAGTCTCTGTCATTTCGTCAAGTGTTGTGACTTTGCTCCCGGAAACGAAATAACCCCTGTTCCTGACTCGTCAAATCATTATACCTGTCCTTGTTTCCAGGAATTGGGACATAAACAATCTCAAATTCATTAATTACATATATATTGACTTACGTGAGGATCATATTCTGTTAAAAATCCCCAATCACTTTTCCTAAAAAAGCCCAAAAGAACAACGTTATTATGATGACTATACATGTACGTTTTGTAGAAAATTCAATTTCAAACAAACGCAAGCGTACTTATAAATACATTTCGTACCAGCGATCGGAACAAATTTTATTATTATAAGGAATAGGAAGTAAAATATTAAATCCCTTTAAAGAATAACAGTGACAAATTATAATGTCGGAAGGAAGTCTATCACGTCCATGTTCTTAAGCGACATTATCAAATAACTGGTCTGGCATCGATTCTCTGATTTAGGTAAAATAACTTGTCAAAAACTGTGTAGTACTATAGGACTTCTTCTTGTGTTTACTTTCTGGTGAGATTTGACTTTATATTGAAGAGACAATTTTATAAAGACACAAAATTGTCTCAAGGGCCAAAGTGTTACAACCGATTCTCTATCAGAAAATATAATACTAATGGTAGGGAAAAGTTGGCCAACTACAGGTGGAATCAAAGTCCACTACCATACATTCCGTCAACCAGTCGCAATACTCACTAATTCTGCACTAGTTAGATAGATCATGGTTTCCCCGTATCAATGGTGCGGGGTAGAGGTGTGTCTAGCAAGGAACAATGTTTATACGTTCGGATGGGCGAAAAAACAAGTACCCTTGTACACGTTGGCATGCACGTAAAGGAACCCCTGACCTTGATAGTTGGAATTCAATATGAGTCTTAGGCCGTAGCACACTGCATGACGTATTCCCGTCTTCAATAGCCTGGTTGGAGCAGAAACGTATAAGGACGTTAAAACCCATTTCATTTCATTTTAAAAATTTAATATTAAAGCGAAACACGGACGGTGACCAAACTTGAGTCTTCGGAACAATACTGTTGGATAAAATGAATTTTATCTGGAATAACTGAAAGTAATAGTAATCTATCAATGAAATAGCCCGACATCTGGCTGGAACGAAAAACAATTTAAAGCTTACCAATTTTTCAGACATCGTTTTTCACTTTCTACATTTTCTGCCCATATTTTATTTTGTGTAATAGCATCACATTTTCTGTGATCACCCTCGGTATATTTTCTGTTTGTTCCTGCAGCAGCTGAAGGTCCACCTTTAGTTTTCGGTAAGCAGCTATCATGGTTGGCACTGCGAGGAAAATCAAATAAACGTTTTCTTACAATATAATCAGGCATTGGTTACATTAAATATACGTTTTTAAAATAATAAGTACTAATTATGACGACATAATAATAGAACATTTTGACGTAACGATCATAAAAAATTTAATCTCACAGACTGGCCCTGGGATTGGACTTGGCGCCAAACTCAAAGCCCAGCTTTCGGTCAGTGGGACCCAGGCCCAGAGCCCCGCGGTTTATGGCAAAAAGAGAAAAAAATTCAAATTCCAAATGAAAGTTTCACGGTAATCGATCTAGCAGTGCGAGGGCGGAGACTGAGCTATCCCTCAACCTTCTTTGTGAAGTTATATGCCATTTCTGCGCATTATATGCCATTCGGAACTGAATATATTTCGTGTGTTATCAGATATTATAGAATTATTCTTGTATTACAGACCGTTTAATGGTGTGTTACGCACGTGTACCATTCAAAAGGATAGGAAATAATCATTTCGTCGCGTTTGGGGCCCCACTATTCTAGTCAGGCCCAGGGCCCCGCTCCGGTTAAGCTGGGCTTTGACCAAGCTGTGTACCACCGTCTACTAAAAGCGATAATTAATGTTCTGCGTGTAGAATCAAGCAGTTCGAAGTCGGTGTAGACATATAACGTCTTCTAGAAAGATCGGAGAAAAGTTTAAAGTTCACACCCTTGACTTCACCATTCACTTAACAACAAATAGATTGATGCGTGTTCTTTCCTGTGCACCAACCCGTCTATAATCGCACACCTTTTTGCTAAACGGATTAAAAAATTATGTGACATTCAATGCAAAAAGGAGGAAATGAAATCTGTTTAAATTTTACCTTTTGTTATTTGAGTAAGAAAATAACACGCTTGAAACTTGTCTCTGCATGTTTAATATTTTAAATATCACAGCAAATATACCACGGTTGAACTCAATAAACCACACTTTATATACAACAGTCTATATTTAGTACAATTTGTTATATCCACTATCTTTCTAACAGAATAACGGTAGTTTGATTAAATTATGTTTGACGATTCTGTCCTGTCTGTTATCTGTGCACATTCGGTAGTCAAATTACCTCAATATTACCTCAATTTCCTCTCAATAATTTATTGTTAGGTAAATAATTCATAACATAGACTACTTTATCCAGTACAATATATCGATTTGTAGTCCTTGTTGTCACGTAAAGATAACATTCTTTAGTATCTACCAAAATATTTATTATTTGTTTTTCACAACTGTATATAAAAACACCACTTATTGTCGAATATAGAAAATAGATTTTTTTTTCTAAATTGAAAATAACGGAATTGTATGTTGGCTGATAGGTATCATGTCGTGGTGTTGCCCTTCAGAAGGCGACAACCCGACATCACAATATTTAAACCCGACACCACGTCAAACCGACATCACGATATCACGACATTTTAACCCGACACGACATTTTCACCCGACACAACGACATTAAAAATGTCGTAATGTCGTTAAAAAAGTCGTATTATCGGGTTAAAATGTCGTGATGTCGGGTTGTCGAAGATCGGTCTTATACATATAAATGCAATATATGTGTATATAAACTGATTTACATTCAATTTCTAAACTTTTTATTGAAATTTCTATAATCAATTATGTACGGTGAAACACGTGAACAGTCAAAATTAAACGAGGTCGTTTCCACGTTCTTTTTAAAAATTACTATTTTGTCGTTTGTGAATCAACCATATTTTATTACTTCTGCATTGTCTTGTGGGATATGTTTTTCTCTTTGTTCGTTACAAATGGTGCTGGAAACTATAGAGTACACGACATCGTGTTACAATGATTTTAAAATGTTCACGATTTCCTAAACAGGCAGTATATAAGAGCTAAATCTGCCAATTTCGGATCTTCCTTTGGGCCTTAATTATAGATTAGAAGGGTTCGGCCATTTAAAGATTTAATTTAAAAATGGAGAAGCTGGGCTAAGACTCGAATGGCCAGTACGGTAGTTACGAGCAATGCACATATCTTGTCAAAACTAAAACCATTGATAACCTCGCTCAAAATAAAGTAATTTGAATGAAATTTTCAATATATTCATTTTGCATTATCTACGGCCAGCTCTTTATTTAAATCTTACATAATGCCCCTTTAAATATTGGATATTAGAATTCCATATTTTCACGGTGAGATAACAACATCAATATTGATTGAAATGGACCAAACTTGAATTATAATTCGTGTTTTTAATTTCTAATATTATATGGATAATATTGAGCTAGAGGTGTAGGTACTTTAATATATGTGTCATAAAACTATACAAATATGTTATATTATATCGGTGTATTATTTCAAAAGGCTAAGGCTTTGACGATCTTCGTAGATCATGGAAAACTAATATCTGATTTGCCGAGATTTGAGAGAGATTGTTGAATGTGGGCTATTATTTTGCAGAGTTTGCCAGGCTAAACATATTTAGTAATGATGTAATATTATTGAAGAATGTTATTTTCTAATCTCAGACTAACAGTCTGTTCATAATCCATCTATCTCCAAGTTACCCGGAAAAAACTAATCCTGAACGTACCTAGCTGACCGCAAAGCCGGTTATCCAGAAAAGTGACTATAATGTCTTATACCTTAATATTTAGGGGCCGGGACCTATAAAATTTTCTTCTTCTTTTTTGGCTCGGATTCTTTCCTTTCAGACAAATAAATGCCTGACAATTTTTGTTTTGGAATGTCAAAAATGGTGTGGAACTGTTTCTAACATTTATTGGCAACTATAACGGAAAACGAGTTTATTTCTGAGAATACGCGTACAATGCTAGAAAGAAGATTATTGCGAAGATGAGGGCGTATGAATTTGCTTAATGTTCTTAGAATTCCAAATGCCAGCGGATCCTTTACGTGCATGTAAAAGAACCCTTGGTACATTTAATTCGAAATACAATATTATTAAGTAACCGATAGTGCCGCTGTCCAAGCAACATTTCCCTCATAGTACATGGTATGCCGTATGCCCGTCTCCATTATCCCAGTCGAAGCAGGGCAGTAAGACTTTAAACAGTAACACCATTTCATTTCGTTTCATAAAAAAAAAACAATTATCATTTACCGGTTGTTACATTGATCGGTTCCATGTAAAATCACCGGACCAAATAGATACGTACTAGGGATGTTTTTTACTCGATGTGCATGCAAAAGAACCTGGAAGTGAGTCAAACCTAGACGCTGGACTATTACCGTCAATTCCAGAAAGTTATTTTCCGAAATTCGGTTCACGGTCAAGCTATAAATATTAAACCAATCTGATACTATACAAAGGTACAACAATATAATATAGTAAACGGTCTATATGTGAAGTGATATCAGGTTTTCTGGAAAGGATAAGCATACCTATAAATATTAAACATTATATTATATTATACAAACCCTCGAACACGACCAGCCATCTTACAGTTAATATCCACTATATAATAATGTAAGAACTCATTAAAGCTATGTCCTGAAATAACATTTCTTATCAGAGAATAGTCTGTTCTATCAAGATACAGATTGTCCTCTTAATTAAGGCTGTATGTATGCAAGTATAAACGCAATTACTGATCCTAGCGACGCAGTAACAAAGAACCGAACAGCTAAACAAACGTAAATTGTATTGCATGTGGTAATATTTGCATGTGGTAATTTTTTGACATCGGCTGTCATCGCCAAAAGAGCACATTAGCGGTAATATTTTCGATATATAACACTTTGAAATCTGCTGACAGGAGATATATGATGTCACTTCGCATTGCTTAAGGGAGTACACCCAAAAATAGTCTGACAGTTGCAATTCAAGGAAGAGTTAGCGGAAACTCTACCACTTCGAATGCAAAGACAGAAAACAAAAAAATAACCACGTGTAAATATAAAAACAAGCTTTTTAGATATTTATGAAATTTTAAACCCCATCTGGAAAGGGGGGGGGGGCTGGCCGAATTGTTAGCACGTGTATTATAAGTTCTGTCATTGAGTCAACTGGCGTGGTTTCGATTCCCCGGTTGTACGTGACATGGACTGGAGTCGCCTGTCCAACCTCGTGTGTTTTTACCGGGTCCTCCCACTGCTAAAGACCCCTGCGCGCAAGTGAATTATTGAAATAAAATTGAACCATGTGTTAGTCCCGAAATGACCTAGTTTATGTCGAGTGGACGTTAATCTCCATCTCTCTCTCTCTCTCCCTCTCTCTCTCTCTCTCTGGAAATATTTTGGCGTTTCTTTTGCTGTTTAATATGTCTGAACCCAACACGCAGTCAAGTACAACACAAACCATGAAATATTTTCAATGGTAACGAGCTGTTTATTGATTTATCATTAAATTTGTATAAAACCCAGGTCGAGTCTCGTGATTACCGGTAGTAAATATATCACTGGGCGGATCCAGTAAAAGAAATACGATTTGGGAATAATGTCAGCATAATATTTGTGTTCCCAAATGAAGAGGGGTGATTCAAGCTGTTCATGGAAGTGTAAACATTGCATTTTGATTTCTTATGGTGTACTACATCTCAATCCTATTTAATTGGCCATTTTGCGAGATTTAAAGAAGGGAATGGCCGTTCTTGCTATGTAATAGTTCAAAGATGCATGCAGATAATGAATATGGAAATTACAGTCAAATTACATTACTCTGAGCAATGTTATCAATGGTCATTTTTGTCGGGTTTCAGACAGCTGAATATTGTATTTAAATTTGTATAAAATCTGTATTACTTTTAATCCTGAAAATAATGTTTAATATATGAATAGAAAGCAGTGTAGAACTCTATTGTCTGGTCGTATATCGACAGTCTCCGGAAAACTTTGGCTTGGTCGGTCAAATAAACGTTCAACGCAGATATGGCAGTATTATCCAATACACCCAATATCCAAGGCATCCGTTGGACTAGAGCGCAGATTGTGGGCGTCTTTAATCAGAAGGTGATGAACTGTCTAAAGGTGACCACTGAGTAGCCAACGGAGCCAAACAATCGGAACCCTTATAGGTGTTCCGCAGTTCAGCGATGGACACACGTTTGATGGCTCTGACAGACGATTAGGAAAAAAATGTCTACCTCCATTTCTAAGCAATCGATTGATATTTTTGATCTGTGATTTCCCAAAACGAAAGTAAAACCTAGACTTTATAATTAATCAGTTTTGTCTTTTAGTATTGAAGGACATTGAATTTGATTTCCCTTTAGGATCGATGTTACTATACTATCGATGTTGTATGTGAGTCGGGTTGGACTAATGTATGTATAGTGTTTCAGCTTAAATGATAAAAGAGATTATTGTAATCTATACCGGCTCTAGTTTATAATCCCTGTTTAATTTCGTGTTATATCAGACTTTTATTTCATTTGGTATATTTACTGGAGCTAATGCAATTTTAATCCTGTGCGTGTATGTTTGAAAGGCTTCGGTCAGTTTACACTTAGAGGAAACGGAACAGAAAGGGGTGGGGTTTAACGCTCCGTCAACACAATACCTTATTCTTTTATGGCCACGTGTTCAATGGATGGTTATAAACTATAAAGTTTAATTCTGCCTTCGAATCTTATCGTATGTATGGTAATTACGAGCATCTGACAAAATATGACTTAGAACGTTATAGGAGCGCGATTTTCAATTTGGAAACTCATAATTCTTGTAGAATACGACATGATTCAAATGCCGAATTAGAACACTAAGCCCGTTACAGGTAGTCGTACTAAATACCGGACAGGTGAAGTTGCAAGGAAAACATGTAACGTTATTAGAAGAACTTTACTTCCACGTAAGCCGAAACGGGTGCCGAAACGGGTAAATTATCCTAAATATACGACACCATGCGCATTCTTAATAACAAGTAGTACGTTACTCGAGGCTCAGTCTTTACGGTGCTGACTGGTAGACTGTCCGGTATACGGGAATTAGTGTGGATGAAAGGAGAACAACATACCTCTCAACGCCAAGAACCTATACTCTTTCTGAAACGTACCTGACCTAAAACTGCGGATCTTCGAAGTGGTCAACAAGTTTATGACCACGGTTGAATTTAGTAGAAAAATGAGGTAATAGCGGGTCACGGTTAGGCGGGTCCGGCATCTAA